GGTATAGCAGACTAGCAGCAATCACAACAACATAATTTGTTGTTACATATTTACCGATCACCGCGGTTAAAGGTACTGGTGGCTTGCTAAATTAACAAAATCCTTTCTCTCAGTGTGCTTTGAAGTTGATATGGATCATCCATAGTAGATTGGGATGGTTTCGACCGGCGCGAAACGCCTTCCTCTTTGTTGTTGCGCTACTGTGATCTCGGATGCACGTGCCGCATATGCCTGAAGAGAACGTCCTTACGACTGGTCTTGTACCCGCAGAGATTGCAGAAAATCATGGGTGGTGTGCCACATACGGTGCTCAGGTGACGCTGAAGGCTCGCCTTCCACGCATAGCCCTTTCCACACTTCGGACATGTAAAGGTAGGTTTACCTACGTATTCCCCGAGATCCTCGGATTGCTGCGCGGCCGGATCGAATCCTACAAATTAGACGCAATAATATTAGAATGGTCAAAAGCTACTTTCGAGAGAGAAAAGTTTTTATGTTCTCCGATAAAAGTTGGCGAAACGCGCGGGGAACACAGAGAGATACAACGACGATATCACAAACACGTAAACGCCAAATTTTAACTCGTTGCGTTACGAAATATCTGAAATAAAAAATAAAATTTTTATTTTACAAAGTTTGTCAAAATTGATTTAAATTCGAGGAAATACTTAGAAAATGGAAATTGGAAGTATAAATATTAATACAATTTATTGATGAATAATATCAGAGAAAAGATAATTGAGATTAATCATGAAAATTTCTTGCTAAAAAATGCATATCAATTTATTGCATCAATACAACTATATCTGATTTCATCACATATTGTAAACATCTGTTAGAAACGAAATTTTAATTTATAAATCTCGAAAAGAAAAGAAAGTATATAGTTCATGTATATATAGACGTAGAGGTAAATCAGTATAGCACCATGTTTTTACACAAGTATATCGCAGGACGGGTGTAAAAATAGAGTGATATAAAATGCATATAAAATTTTAGAAAATATTACATAAACAATAATTACTTGGACGAAATATCACGTATAATTATTGTTATAATTGCAAGAAAATCTATATTCAAAAATCACATAATTTATAAAAAATATTGATATTTAATATTATTTTTATAAATCGCAATCATATTGATATAATTTTATTATTCAAAATAAGCCACAAAATTATGATTATAGAATACACATAAAATATATAATATATATTCTCTTGCGTTATAAAATAACAACTTTCATATATTTTATTATCCATAACACAATAATTCAATGTAATGTATAACTTGAATTTAATAAATCAACATAATTTAATGCTGCGTTTATTAACATTTAGTTAATAACTTAATAACAGAAGAATTAAATAAACGTTTTTTTATAATCATTATATCTCGAAAAAGTAATGCAAACTTATGCGAAATCTCGTATCCCCCCACCATCGATCATATAATCTCTCTCCACAGTTTAATAAAAAAAATTCTTACTACAGATCAAAAATCGCTTTGCGTTTCTAGAAGACCAGGATTAGTCGCAAAATATTCAAACGTTTTACATAATCTTTCGATAAGATGGATGCACTTTCACAAAAGTTCATTTACGATTTTATCGGAAATGTATTCTTACACGCTGTACCATCTTTTCATCTTGTTATTGGTAATCAAAATTGAGATTTTTTAATGCGTCTGCTCGATCGCAAGGCCGACATGCTCGCGAACAATGTGATACTTCAATAAGGTAGGAATCCTGGCTCTGTGGGAGCAGTATGG